TAGCTGTGCTGGAGAGGATGCAGAGAAAAAGGAACCCTTCTTCACTGCTGGTGGGAATGCAGACTGGTACAGCCATTGTGGAAAACAGCATGGCATTTCCTCAAAATGTTAAAGATGGAACTCCCATTTGACTCAGTAATCCCACTTCTAGGACTATATTTTGAGGATGTCTTTTTTCAGGTCCACCTTTAAGGGTCAAAGTAACAAAATTTTCATGTGGGGAATTGGAATTTCAATTTAAAGGGCTTTTGTGAGAAAATATTTCATAATGTAAGGGTATAGGCTGGCATGGCCATCTAGTTTAGAACTGGAGAGTAATTTATTGCAGCATTAGTTTATGAAAGTTTACAAATGGCTCAAAAACCTTGGGTCAGGTATGAGAGAGAGCACATATTTAATACAGAGGCGATAATAAAGATGTAATTTCTGGACTCAGCTCTGTCCTCACCTCAACTTACACTCGATTTCTTTCAGTTTTCTTACAAGTGATGACAATACTGTGCCTTATGCATCTTACAGAAATGCCAGGGGGATAAATGAGATGACATTTATGAAGTAACCTTCACTCTTTAGAAAGAAGTACTCTCTAAGCATAAGCTTTAAACACTATATTCAGGGAATTATTTGCAAACAACCCCTTCAAGCCCGTTTCAAAATTCTTCCCTCCCAAAAAAGCTTCTCCTGGTTAAACGCACCCATTTCAGTTGTTTCTTTATACTGTTAGCACCTTGGCATGACGTCCACATTGTACCTTTCACTTTTTGACCTATTACACTATAACATCACCTGTCCTGCTGCCGCACTAGAATCTTTGGTACCGTCCTGGCTCCTCCCTTCTCCTCCCCCTTCTCCAGCTAGTGACAAAGTCTGTTCAGGCCCGTCTCAGAGTGTTCTCAAACCCCTGGCACTGCACTGCCACAGCTTGATAAAAGCTACGAGCTCCTTGCAAGCCGTCTGTACTTTTTGACTTTGTTTTATGGAGTATTTAGCCTAGAGCCAGGCACACTGGAAGTCCTCAGTAAGTGTGTGCTGAATGAATGGGGGAAGTTCCACTACAGGTGACCAGGGATCAGCGGAATATCAAAGGTTACGGTGATTTTAGGCCTTGTGAATAACCAATGACTCAATTATGGTCAAAAACAGACCGCTGTATTTGGTATCAAATGTCATTGATAGCATTTATAGCTTCTAATATTTACTAAACAATTAATTTTCCACGTTAACAAATCATTTCTTTGTTAGTTGAAAATTATTTTCTTGGTTGAGACTACCCTTGACTAAATCTGTTTTAAGAAAAATACTTTTCTTTTATCACCTACAAGCCATTTAAACACAGAGTACTCAGCAATTAAGTGACATGAGGCCAAGGATACTAAAGAAGGCAAATTGAAATGTGCAACTTGTTTAACATGAGATGGGCTCAAAGGTGCTCACCGCTACTGAATCTCAGGGTTAGAAGGGCCTGTGCTTGCTGCTGGAGAGAGAGGAACTTACTGTCCTTCCCCCTTTCTGTGGCTGCTTCTAACAACAGGCATGAGTAGACAATGACCCATTTGCAGAGGGGAAAGAAAAATATTCATAGACAGGACACCTGGAGAGAGCAGCTCTCACTCAACCAAGTTATGTGGCTAAAGCAAGGGAAGTAAATATTTCCCTTCAGCAAAAGCATCAATTCGGCTGCAGCAGTGCAGGAAAGACACTCTGTCAGGTGTCTAGAAAGAGCATCTTTGGAAGCCCCTGGTGAAAATTCAACCCTTTGCAACAATTTCGATTCATTCCCAAGCACTGGTTCCAGGAATGGCCTGGGTCAGCCTCCTTGAGTTAGTGAAGAGCCAGTGGGCTGACACCAGCCCTACCAGAGCAACTGGCTAGCAAGCATGTCAAACTCACAGCTGGGCCACATGCATCATTTGTGGCCCGCGGACTGCGAGTTTGACATGCTTGGAGGAGCTGCATTAACAAGGTCTCTGGCTATCTCCAAGGAAAGGAACAAAAGTTAAAAGCTTGGTTCTGGGGTCTGAGGGGCCTGCATTCAAATCCTTATTCTGCTACTTGCTAGGCATGTAACCCTTGGACAAGTTATTTTATCTTTCAGAGCCTCAGTTTCCCCATTCGTAAATGGGTGAAAACAACATCAACACCTCGGTACTGCATACCTGGAATGTCATATGTGCTCAATTAAAAGGTGTCATTATTGCTAATTACCTGTGGGAATCCAAAGTAACACAATCCTATTATGATTCCTATTCGTACGCTGCCTGGGCCAAAGAGGTTCCCCAGACTTTAAATATAACGTACAGTGAAAGCCTGCCTGAGTGAATTTTGGTCAAATGTCCTGCAGCCCTAGTTAGAGCTGATAATTTGAGTTTCCATGTTGCCTACTGTTCCAGTCTCAGCGTTGTTTTACTCTTGATATTAAAAATTGCTTCCCCTTAAGAAACAGGAAACAAGCAGCTATGATGCAAAGCAGCATAAACACTCAGTCCGTACTCACGCCTCCCCGTCCGCGCTTTACTGTTACCTTGAGGGTTTGGGTGGCAAGAGAGTAAGATTCCTAGATGGGATTACAGAGGCAGCTGGCAGTTTCAACTAAAGTCTATTTTATAAAGTCTATATATTTACCAGCTGGGAGGGGGGGGTGTGTATAAAACCACAGAATACTAGGAGAGAAAAAGAATAAATTAGGTTAAAATTTATCCAAACAACTTAAAATGCGATTTACCTGTGGGCCTGTTTCTGGCTTCAAGTGAAAACCAAAAACAAGTTCAAGGTTCACTATTTTTTCCTCATTTTCTTCAGGTTCACCTACTGAGTCCTAAAACAGAAAACCAAACACCATTTATTCTAGATAGAGTTTTCCCTTTTACTTCTCATGAAAAAGAGATGCTTTCTCAGCACCAGCTTTTCCATTCTAATATATGTTTTAACTTTTGGTTATTTTTGGAATAAGCTTCAAATGACAATTACTTAAAGCAAAGGAATGACATCTTAAGTTTTTGAGAACTTTGCCGAGTGATTTATCTCACCCGCTCCAGGTTGAAGGTCACAGGCGCACATTTTTCACAGTGCTTCTTGCATTGTGTAATTTTACCCCAGAAATGCACTGAGCACTGGAGATGCACTGAGAGACTTTACCTGAGCATTTCACAGCACTCAAAATATTTACAAACTCTTCCCAACGAGGAATTAGCAGTTCTGAGAGCATATGGGGATGGAGGACCAAATAGAGGAACAAATGAGCCTTCTAGGGCTTAGAGATGGAGAACCATACTTGTTAATGAATGGGAAGATTTCTGTGTATTAAGAGCAAGTATCTGTAGATTAAGATATGGGATGTGAGTTGAAGGTTTAAGACTAGTGAATGGCTTCTAAGTTGTATGATATTTGCTATCAAAATTGAAACAAAAATTCCAAGTGAATTTTCTTAAGTGATGCATAGACCATTCAGGAACAAGTCACTAATGTTTTTTCTTGAAGAGAGTAAGTGTTCTAATTCTTATTAATGTGCCTTTACTTATTTCATAGATATTGGAGACGTTTGTCTTTTAGTCATTTTAAACGATGTTAAAAACTGGTTCGGTGAGAATATAAGCCATAAAAACAACTGGCAATGTGAAGATTAAGCACAGTTACTTAAATGTGAAAGCTTCAGCAGTCAGTAAGCTTATTTAGGTTTTCAAACATCTGCCATATCAACCACAGAAGTACAATGATCCCCAGCTCTGTATTTTCTTAAAATAAAAAATTTAAAAATAAAAAATGAGCAAGTATCTACTTATTTAATAACACAGTAAACCATGTACCTTTAGACTATATTCAAAAGAATATGTCACATATACTGATACGTTGTTCAAACAATAAGCCTCCCACCCCAAAATGCAAGTGACCATCCTGAGCTCAGGTCTGTGGATTCCTTCAGTGACTTATGAGTGAGACAAAGGTCTCCAGAGCCAGGTGGGAGGGCAGAGGCTGGCACTTCCATCCTCTAGCCACTGAGGTGACATGTGTGGCTCTTATCATGAATGTATTGTTAATGTTTCAACTTTCAGGGAGTAAGGGTGTCCAATTTAAACACATCCTGAGCTTCACTCACAGGGCCTTTTGTTGGACAGACAGGATTAAATTTCACTTCAAACAACAGTTCCCGACATTGGCAAATTTAGGTGTGGAGGTGGCAGGTGCATATGTCGATCAAAGCATATTCTCGGTAAGAGAAAAACCTTACTTACCTTAATTAGTGGTGGGAAGTGAAACAAGTTTAGATAATCATGGGTTAATTTCTCAATGGCTGACTGTAAAAAACAAATCACATGGCTTTATTAATGGTCCGATAATGCCGAGAGGATTAAAATTATTGTGCACATATAAAGGCATTCCTTATTTATGTAGTTCATAAAATATCCTGGGGGTGTTAATATCCAACATCTATGGAGAATAAACTTGACTGTTCACAGTATTATATGCAGTTCGTAATTATTTAATGGAACAGGAAGATATTTAAGAATTTAAATCTCAGACTAAACAATAAATAAAACCATTCTTCAAACACCGGTATAATAGTGACAAGTTGATGTTCCAGTGCATAGAATGCAGTTGTCACCCTGTGTAACTGGGAAAAACAACAAAGAACATGAATATGTCACCGGAGACCTTCATTAAGGCTGAAATCGCACTGAAGGGTTTGCTGCTTTATGAGGGCTTTTCTATGGGTATGTATATCCAACACTCCCTCCCCCAATGAAGCACAAAGAACTCTTAAAGGACAGGAGGACAATTTAAATTATGATTTTTTCTTTTCTTTCTTATACTCATCAGGTGTAATCCAGCTTTTCTGTGAACTGAACATATCATGTAGAGAGTAAAAAAGTGCCAATGTGAGAAAAATTAGATGCATTTTATAAAGTGAAATGAAAGCTGTTGACACTTGACAATGTAGTGAACACTTATTGGATGTTCAGCCCTATCCCTTGTACGCGGCCCCTCCACATGAGGGAGCCAAGACAGGCTCCAAGGGACCACTGAGCAGCGGAAGGGTAGGAGACCACTCCAATGACCTCCTGTTCGAGGGCTGAGACTCTTAGAGAAGGTACAACAATGCCTGTGCCTGCATTAGTGAAAGAGCAGAGAATGAAGGGCCCACTCTCCCCATCAGTGTGTCAGTCTGACAAGTACCACGAAGGCTCCTCTAGTCTGGAGGTACCCATCGAGTACCCCATCCCAAAAGGCCCAGCTTGAAGCATTGTGCATCCTCAGTACCCCAAGTATATGCAGTTCCCTCCTGGAGCAAGTTTCCATGACTCTTTTTCCTTAGTTTTTTCCTCTCATATATAAGCTTATTTGTCAGAATTACCCACCATGTGGCTGAGTTTCACAGAGTGTCGCCTGTTGGCTGAGCCCCACTATGTGGCCCTCTAAGACAGCCTGGCTCTGGCAGTCAGGCGGAGCGTCCACTGCTCTGAGAGCCACATGCAGACTCACGTGGGAGTTTGAGGGGACTCCTGAGGGTGGCCACACCCTCTTTTGGAGCAAAGGACACTGCTGCCCCCACCCCACCTGGCAGCTTCCCACAGTATTGTTTTCTCCACGCCTGTGTTTCTCAAAGCCTGTGTTTCTGGGCTTCTCCGCAGCACGGACCATCTCTATAAAGCTTTTCAACCTCTGGCTTCAGTGACACTGTTCTCTGCTCCCTGTGCTACTTCCCACAGCTCTCTTGCCTGTGCTGTCCTTCCTTCTCTCCATGCACACGTCCTACCCTAGCCTGGCCTTATCATTCTCTATTCCACAGCCTCTGAACTGGTCTTTCAAAATCCAGCCTTTCCTTTCTAATCCACTTGATAACTTCCAGAAGCAAAGTTTTAAACATGTCAATTCTCAAAATTTCCGATAGTCCCCACAGACCCCAGGTCCCATCCCAGATCCCAGGCCTGAAGTCAGACGCTGTCCACGTCCCTCCTGCTTTGTGTATCCCGAGTTCCCTGCACCTGGGCTTCCTTCAGACAGAGACACACACTGTTCCTTTACAGTCTCTTCTGCTGCTCTTCTTCCCTCTTAACTCCTTATTCTATCTCGACCAATGTTCGTTCCTTTCCCACTCCCATCTACATCCCAAATTTTGTCTTTCCTTCAAGATCCAGCTCAAGGGCACCCACCCCCTGATGCTTCCGCTCTCTGTCCCCCACTGCCCCTCCCAAGCGGAGGTAATGCAGTAGTAGCTTTCCTCCAAACTGCCAAGACCCTGTACTATGAGAAGTTGTATGTGTATGTACATGCTTTATGTCTTCTCCAGGACATAAATTCCTTTGGGGAAGAATTCTCCTTTGTGTTTTCTCAGGCCCAGTCTTGCAATGAGTAGGCATTCGCTGACTTCGTTGGACAAGAGCCAATAGGTTTGGACACTGCTTGCCTTCATGATACCAACTTGGCATGCAGAGGGCACTTTGTCTGTCCTAGGCCAAGTCTGGGAATATTTCCATCACCATGGGCTTTGGTGAGGTGTCACAGCTTGCCTCCACTTTCTTCCTGACTGCTCCTTAAGGAGTGTGGTCCCCTTTCAAAGCCGGCAGAGGGGAAGGGGAGGTGGGAGCATCTTATTGGGCAGCTGTCAAATAACATAAACTTTACCAGATTTCTCTCTTGGAACCCTGACACTTCTCTGTACTAGAAAAATAATTTTTCCTACTATAGCCCATCAAAGCCAGCATAGCTTTTGGGGATAGACTTGTCTACACCCAGAGGTCGAGATTAAATTAATATTTGCCAGCCTTTGAGGTATATGCATATGCATGAGGTTTCCTGCCCATCTACTGAGAGGGAAAAGACATTAAGGTTGAAGCTAAGCCATCACTTAAGGCAGTGGTTCTCAACCTTCCTAACACATTAGAATCACCTGGGAATCTTTTTAAAATCCTGATTTCTGGGCCTCATCCTCCGGAAATTCTGTTTCTTTGTTACTAATGTTTTAGGTGGCCCCTGTGAAAGGGTCATTCGACCCCCAAAGGGATCACGACCCATAGGTTGGCGGCCCACAGGTTGAGAACCACTGACTTAAGGGCTGCTGAGGGCTATAAAGATGTCCCTTCCATGGGTCCAGACCCCACATAAAATGCAAGTAGATGGTTCTCTTTGGACCACAGGGGATTTCCCTAGAAAGGCTAGTGTCAGGGGCTCTAACTGAGGCAAAGGGAAAAATAGTTGGCACGCTGGTTGAGGCTTTGTGAAGATGTGGATTTGGATGGAAGCTGCTTTTCTACATTCCCTTCTTTATTCTATTTCTTTTCTTTCTAACCTGTGTCCACCCCTCCATCCACCCACACTGGGGCTGAGGAAGTTTGGGGAGCAAACTTGATTTTATCCTAAGATCTTGCTCAATATTGACCTCTGATTAATAGCCATGCTGCAAAGATGCCAGAAATTCTTATTTGGTTTCAGTAGCTAAAACAAACAAACAGATCTGGTTGCTAAACGATAAGAAAGGAACAATAAAAATAGAGGTTTAGCTTTGAAGCGGTTCAAGACTGAAGTTTTGGGGTCAATGTTAGAATTTCCTGAGAAAATGAGGGTTTAAAGTACATGGATGGTGTGTCTCTTGCAGGCCAAAATTGTGAAGATTACAAATTGAACACACACACATTCCTGTCATTTGAGACGCTGCAGTGCTGAGGTTCTTGCCAATCCATGGACAAGTTCCGTCACCCTTAGGCATTCCTAATGGACACCTAGCCTCTCTGGCCTTTACGAAGTTACATCTGCTGTTCTGGGTGGGACGCTGGTTCTGCAGGCGCCCGCTGCCTTATTTCCGGGTCCTCTGCACACCCAGCTTTCTCCCACCTGGGCCTTTCCACAGGCACACTCTCCCCCCAGAACACCTCTTCCTATCCCCTTCACCTGGTTAACACCTACTTGTTCTTCAGCTCTTTACTCCTTCACAACTTCTTCACAGAAGCCCCTCCTCATCCCAACCTCACCTCTTCTTTGTGGCATTGCTTACATCTGTCATATTACCCATGTTGCATGATTAATACCTATCTTCTCCACTAGACTAGAGACTTCCTGAAGACCTGGGTGAGCATCAGGAGTATCCAGGTGACCTCTGCGGTGTCAGGTACTAACCCTTCTGAGGTTGGCTTATGAGGCGGAAGTAGGGTCCCCCGGGGGCAGCAGCTAATAATCAGCTGGTGTGGACGTGGTTCAGTACAACCAGCGCAGCTGTGTGTGTCCTCAGCCACCCACAGGCCACGTGTTCAGCTACAGAGCAGGCGCTCAGGGAAGATTGTTGACTGCCCTCCCTTTCTGAGGTACCTTTAAGTGAATGATGTGCCCCTTGGAGACAATGCCCATGTCCTTCAAGTCTTCTTCCTCCAGGAGCAGCAGCCGCTTTCCCGTGATGTTGTTCTCCTTAAACAAGCTCGCGTACACGCTCATCTCTGCTGAAGAGTCACCTGAAGGGAGGGAGTAGGAAGCAGAATAAAATTAGATGACATCATGTCCACAGCGAAGTTAACTCCATGAATTAAGAAGGTAAATTAGTCCACTTGCCTTTTCTGACGAGGTGCTGAACCCAAAAATACTGTGAAAGAGAGGACATACAGAGTTTTCAAGATTCATACATGATCCACAGCCAGACTTAGCAGTAAAATCCATAGTTCTCAAGAGGTTAAAATATCTTTAATTTTGGCTCAACCACAAGGTAAAATAGAAAATTTTCTTTTTATGATTTTAAAACTTCAAGCTTTCACAATGGAACTCCTTCTCTCTCTCTCTTTGGGGGTCGTGGACACTTGAAGGATGTTGGTTTTCCTCCTTATCTGGGAGGAAACAATATTTTAAAATCCTTTCAAGAAGGTTCTCATAATGGTTTTCCATCTGTGTCCCTGGGGCTGTTGAGGGGCACTGGTTTAGCCAGCAATTGTATGAGTAACAGGGACCATACAGCAGTGGACAGGAAATGGATAGACGTTGTCCTCCGCTCTGGGCCTGGTCAGGAAGTAGGTATGTGGCCCAGACAAGCTAATGCATGGAGCTTCTTATGTAGGATGAGGTTGGACCCAGTGCTTGGATTTCACTTGGCACATGTTCACTAGTAGCTTCTCACATGACCCTGGTCAAGGGAGATAGAAGGAAGGCCAGATACAGTCCCACCAAGTCTTTGGGGGTGGGGTTGGGGGTGGGGCTTGATCCTGGAATTTTATTTAAATGGTTTGAAAACCACTGAACCCCAGGACAAAGACTAAAAATAGCCTTTAAAAAACTTCTTCTCAAATTTGATGCACCAATGCTGCAACTGGGGATAAAGGGATTCTAGCCAAGCCCTGAATAAAGGAGATCCTATGTCCTCTCCCTGTTAAGCAGGAACCTTAGAATCACCAGGGCTGAGCGAATGGGACGAAATAGATGCAACTGGTACCAAGTTTCCTTTCCCTGTAGAAGCCAGAGGCCAGCTGATGTTGAAAGCACTTTTACTTCCCCAAACACGAAGGTGGGAGGGAAATGCCTTGGCCCAGAAACTAGGCTGAGTTAGGTAAACAGACCTTCCCCAAGTTTCTGGTGGTGAGTTTGTACCTGTGGCACCTGGCCCATTTCCTGGGGCGGGGCCTGCGAAGGCTGGCATGACAGCCC